GTATGTCAGGGTTGACAACATGCAGCACATAAGAACTCTATGAGACTCCAGTTACGACGGTGTAGTGGGAAATGACAAGGCAAATAAACTGGTTGGTTCTGCACCACTTGGTGGTGAACTGATGCATAAAAAAGGTAGATGCTGTAAGGAAGTCAGTGAACAATTCAGAGGCATAAACGGGTCATCAAGGTCTGAGAAGAATGGCGCTGGGTGGAGTGACTTGGGGATCTGGTCACAGCTCAACACTCAAGGAAAAAATAGGGTGGTTATACAATCAGACATTGGTGTCATAGAAATTGGAACTTTAGGCTTGCTGCTGAAGATGGGTACATAGCGCTTATGGAAAGGTTCCGCACGCTGTGATGTCAATTCTTAATTTAACATTCAACGTAATCACATTAAAATAAGGTATGTATTGAGTATAGTTTTGAGGAAAATGACTACATCCTTCGATGGGAAATTGTGTGTGAACACAACCGTGAGCATATGTGTGTGTATTTGTGAGTCCAATGAAAGAGGTCAGCCTTCTTTATGTAAAACCTGGCAGAGATTTGACATCGGAACATTCAGGACAAGCCCATATTCCACAGGTGAGAGATCGCCTCTGCCTTGTACAGTCACAATACACCCCCCTCCCTGCACGAGTGGAGCCAGACCAGCCAACCTATCTGCCTGTTCAATCCTAAACATGCCTGCATGGCCCGGGCAAAAATATCCATGTGACTCTCTGTACCTGTGATCTCTGAATTGATGCCACCCATTCCATATGAAGAAAACCAGATTCCACCTTTCTGAGCATGCTCTGCAAATTTGATACCATAACAACACGTGCAGTTGAGATGTTTTCCACCCAATGAAATACTGCATTAACCTCCATTCTCATGCTGGATGTGGTAATGTCATATGCCATGCTCTACCCTGTCATTCTTCTACCCTATGTTTTAACAATGATCTATCCCTGTTCACTGACCCATCACTGTATATGATTACATCTTGTCATCATGTAAAATGTATGACTGCATTCATTCATGATGTTAGAAGTGGCTGATTTTGATCGCTCTAGACAGTTCTACCTTATGTACACTGGCAGAGAAACAGGTGTTGGAACCAATAAACGTTTTGTAATGATCAGCTGTGTGGCGTTTCCAACGTTTACTGTTTCATGCTCAAAATATTCAATTATCTGTCCTTGTACCTGAAAAGGCTGCAATTGATGAGAGCCTGAGAGAGTCACTGCAGCTATGCTCTCCCCTGTTATCCTTTTTCCCTCATGCTTTCACAATGATCTATCCCTGGCCACTAACCCATCAGCGTATATGATTACATCTCCTGGCCTAGAGTATACCAACAACTGATATAGCCAGGATATGTCTCAGGCACACAACTAGACTCTGAAAGCATGCTGAGAAAAGTGAAGACAGGGATACTTTGAGCAGAGTGGCAAGCTTCACTGGAGAGGTCACGGGTAGTGAGCATACATTAGATCTTTTCTCTGGGCCATGTCAGCGTGGTGGGTAATGAACAGGCAGACAGATTGGCTGGATCTGCACCACTGAGTGGTGAATTGATACATGACAAGGCAGATGTGGTCAAGACCCTTTAGGAACAAGCAAAGGAGTTAGTAGAGATAGAAGATTATTTTGACCTGGAGAGAATAAGGCATCTGGGTGTAACTAGAGGGTCTGGCCGGCTCACTACACTTAGAGGAAAGGCAAGACTGACATATAACCAGATTGTGACCGGTACCATCAGTATTGGAACTCTGCGCTGGCTGCTGAAGATGAGGACGGAGCATGAATAGGAATGCCCTGAGTGCTGTGATGTCAATTCTTGACTCAACTCAACACAACTGATGTGTCCCTCGTGGAATCCAGTATGGTTTGCACAGTCTCGTTCTGTAAGGGTTCCAATTTCTTCATCTAAGTTGTTTTATGTACATTTTCATAACTTTAAATAACTGTGACTCAACAGGTCAGAAATCATATGTGAAGGAACAGTGACTGAGCTTCATAAATCATGTGACGAATGTCTGATAGAAATTATATATCTCTACTCAAAGTTCACAAACTAACAATTTAAACCACACAACTTGCACATGTGGATTTCAAGAACTGGTTACAAACATATTAAAAGTTTTACAAATTCTATCTACCACACAAAATATCATTTTTATAAGAAAAATACACTCACCCCAAAAACTCATGTAAACAATTTAAAATAAAAAAAAATATATGAGCACCTTAGAACTGAAGAGTATACTTGAGAATAAGTAAGTGAGTGAACCCCTCTTCCTTTTACACTTGCAGTGCTTCGAGGATATGATGCTAGATTCATATTTTTATAGACCAGCTGGCCTTTTGGACAATGTGGTCAACGCTAGATTCATAGACCAGCTGGCCTTTTGGACAATGTGGTCAATGCTAGATTCATAGACCAGCTGGCCTTTTGGACAATGTGGTCAACATTACGCCAGTCACCTTTACTTCCCCAGACATTAGCTGTATCACATTTTAGGCCAGGACAACCTGGGAGCAAATGGCATTGTTTGAATGAAAAAAAAAAAAAAACATCTGCCTTGATGCAGATTTGAACTTCAGACTTTTGAACCAGCAAGCAAGAATCTAGGCGCTATAACATCATGGCCCCTAAAGGATTTAATAATAATAATTTTAAAAAATATTAAAAATAACATTGGAAGGTTGTTCATTACAAATATTACTGGCACAATAGTGATGTCAGGGCACTGTTGAGAGAAAGACAAAAGCTGGCTACTACATTGCAATTTATCAAATCTTTGTTCTTTCACACAGTAAATGAATGTTCTTTGCACGATTAGTTTATCTGCAACTCTCTGATCTTTCACTAAACAGATGAATGTTCCTATCAACATCATCATCCACCTGTCAATCTTTCATAAAACAGATGAATATTCATATCAACATCATCATCCACCTTTCAATCTTTCATAAAACAGATGAATGTTCATATCAACATCATCATCCACCTTTAAAAAAAACAGATGAATGTTCCTATCAACATCATCATCCACCTGTCAATCTTTTATAAAACAGATAAATCTTCATATCAACATCACCATACACCTTTCAAAAAACAGATGAATGTTCATATCAACATCATCATCCAGCTCTGATATTTCCCTCAACAAATGAATATTTTTAGTAATGTACTGTCTGGAAATGTGGGTATAATTAGAGCATTTCCCAGCAACAGTGATGAAGAATTAGATGTTGACTGATGTGTATTATTTTCACGCTGATTGACGTATGAATGGACGTATTGTATGTAAGCAGTGAGGCCAAAAGGGCAGAATGTAAGAAAGGCTATCGTGCCCATTTCTAAATTCGTTGAAAATAAGCCATCGTTCGCCCATTTCTAAATTCGTTTTAAAAATAAGTTTTGGACGTATCAGTTCGTTTAAGAAAGGCCATCATCCACTTCCACATCTCAATCTTTTATACAACAGAAGAATGTTCCTAGCAACATGACCCACACGCTGTTTGACATATGAATGGACGTATTGTATGTAAGCAGTGAGGCCAAAAGGGCAGAATGTAAGAAAGGCCATCGTGCCCATTTCTAAATCCGTTGAAAATAAGTTTGATCGTTCGTTTATCATCCACTTCCACATCTCAATCTTTTATACAACAGAAGAATGTTCCTAGCAACATGACCCACATCTACACTGATACTCTTTCAGCCAACATAAGAATGTTTGCAACAATGTCAGCACCTGGGGCGGCCAGTCCAATGACAGTCAGTTAAAGCCTTTGAGTGTTATTTGCTCTCTTACATTAGTTCACTGATGAACTTTCCTCACACGTGGACTTGAAACATGGCTTCGTCACCCAGCTACTCAGCTTAGTGCATGGTGCGACACTGGGAGCTGTCAATTTCACGTGGAGTGCTTTTTTTTTGTTGCCTGAAGCTGGAGCCTCGACTAATGACTAAAACTACGATCCACCACTAATTCTGTGATCTTTCATAAGATTAATGTTGCTGACACAATCATGATCCACATACACCACAACCTGTTCTTTCGCTCAACAGATAAAGGTTTCTATTTAATGTGTAACTTTATGAACCTTCAGAATACACGTAAGAGATTTACATCAGTTCTGTTCTGCAGTTCTTTACTGATGAGAGCAGTTCATCACTTATGAGAGCAGTCTGTTACTTATGAGAGATCAACTACCAATGCTATCATCATCATCATCATCATGAGTCACCATCTCACACAATCACCAGAGTGTTAGATCAGCTCTTTCTTGTCCTGATAACACCATGTGGCCATGCCATCCAAGTAATCCTCTCTTTGTCTTCCTTTTTTTTTTAACCATCAAGTTTACTAGCTGTGGTTAAACTGTCAAGTCTAATAGTTTATATTTCCTGTGTGGGTTCCAGGGCCCCATTGTAGGGGACAAAGTATAAACCCACTGCCTCCCAATAAGATGTCATAAAAGTCAACTAATTAGGGGCATTTCCTTTGAAGTCTGAGTGTATCTATCTGAGATGCAAGGAACCAACAGTCTGCAAACAAATAAGCCAGATCTGTAAAAAGGACATGCATGCAAAACTCTAGAATAAGGGTTGGGGGGGGGGGGGGAGACAGAAAAGATCCACCACCCATTAACAAGCATGTCATAAAAAAGTGACTAACTAAGGGTCTGCTGAAACTGGATGTGTTGGACTGAAAGGTGTAGATATTGCAGCCTAGCTGTAAACCACAACATAACATGTCAACCATCCATTTAAGAGTGAACTCAGAAGAAAAAGAAAAAATCCCAAGATCAAAGGGAACAACAGAAATTATTAAGCCATCTAGAATTTCATCTGTAATATTTAAAAAGATATGTTTGTTACACACAGGACTGTAAGCAACATTTGCGATAGTATACTCCACAAGGAAATTTATCAGAACAACAACATCAGCAGTAATAATGACAACAATGATGATGTGTAATGGCACTGTAACAAAGCTCCTACACAGACAGTAAGTTTCTGGACTGCGTCACCACTATAGTTAATTTCCCTGGTCTAACGGCATCAGTCTCTGGCTTGCGGCCAGCCAGGGCAACTTCTAGCGCTTGATTCTTGCACTCGTCAGTAGCAACGTACAGGAACTTCCCCATGAAATCATCTCGCAGGATATTGTTGTTCCAGATCTGCCAGGGTTAGAAAAAACATTACGTTAGGAAAGGTAGTTGTTGGAGATCTGCCAGGGTTAGAAAAAACATTACGTTAGGAAAGGTAGTTGTTCCAAATCTGCCAGGGTTAGAAAAAACATTATGTTAGGAAAGGTAGTTGTTCCAGATCTTCCAGGGTTGGTGAAAACACTATGTTAGGAAAAAGTAGTTGCTTCAGATCTGCCAGGGTTAAAGACAACATTAGGTTAGGAAAAGTGGTTGTTCCAGATCTGCCAGGGTTAGAGAAAACACAGGTTAGGAAAGATGGTTGTTGCAAATCTATCAAGGTTAGAAAACAACATTACATTAGGAAAGGGGGTTGTTCCAGATCTGCCAAGGTTAAAGATAACATTACATCTTCTTCTTTTTCTTTTCATTAAGAGACACAACTGTGCCTGTTTACCCAAAGCTATGGTATTTGCACCTTTCGGCCTACAAAACCGACTTAATTGAGCATTTGTTGACTGGGTTAACTACTGGGATAATTATGTGACACAATGTAGCCTTACTTGTATGGTGTTCTATTTGCTCTCTTACCTACCGTGTTGCCCCTCGAGAATCCGTGAGGAAAGCACATGGCCTGCCCTGGATGAGGGATAGCTAGTGTTGTCGCCACGTACTACGCAAGTTAGGATTTTATTTTTGCTTCCCGACAGAAAAAAGTCCACAATTGTTACTGAGGATCCGAACATGGGTCTCCTGCATGAGAGCCTGGCATTCTTAACCATTCTGCCAGCCGTTCCTCTATAGCTGTGCTTTCAGCCGTTCCTCTATAGCTGTGCTTTCAGCCGTTCCTCTTTAGCTGTGCTTTCAGCCGTTCCTCTTTAGCTGTGCTTTCAGCCGTTCCTCTAAAGCTGTGCTTTCAGCCGTTCCTCTATAGCTGTGCTTTCAGCCGTTCCTCTATAGCTGTGCTTTCAGCCGTTCCTCTAAAGCTGTGCTTTCAGCCGTTCCTCTATAGCTGTGCTTTCAGTCGTTCCTCTAAAGCTGTGCTAACTGCCGTTCCTCTAAAGCTGTGCTAACTGCCGTTCCTCTAAAGCTGTGCTAACTGCCTTTAAGGTTGAACAGGCAGGATCTGTAGCTGTTTGATCCTCATTCTTGAGATGTTAGCCCTACAGAATGCAAATCCAGAGGGGCAAGCAACACTTGAAAAAAAATCAACATTACCCCCCGGTATCCAGATTGTTACCGACACACCTCAATCTTTGTAAGGTTTTTCACTTGCTTTTGTGTGTGTGCATAGAACAAACCAGTTAGAATCACAAAAGGAAAATGATACACATCTATACCACCACTGTTGGTGCCTGTGATTTAGGTGTTGGGAATAAGTTTCATAACTACCAATGCAGGTTAGATTTGGCAGCTAACCATTTTGGGTTGATTTTCACAATGGTATGTAGCATCATCCGTTTAGAAAGCAAAAAAAAATGAAATGAATAAACCACTAGGCACATAAAAAAATCATTAGGCACAGAAAAAACCATCAGGCACCCCCCTGCCCCCCCCCCCCCCCCCCCTGCTCAAAAAAAAAAATATCTATATTACCACTTGTATGAAGACTGCTGAAGACATACCTCAATCTTTATAGGGTTTTTCACTGGGTTCTGTCTGTAGAACAAACCAGACGTGTTCCACTCAGGATCTGTGGTGTCTTTGCTGCTGGATGTGGTCACTTTGTAGCCCTCACAGGAAATGATACAGTAGGGGTCAGCACCTGCGGGAGACAGACAATTTTGTCAGTGGCAGTGGAGTCAGTTGTTTCATTACCTCAGACAGGTTGAGCATTAACTAAGAAATGTTGAGCACTGGCACAGAGATGTTGTATATTAGTATAGAGATGATGTATATTAATATAGAGATGTTGTATGTTAGTATAGAGATGTTGTGTGAAAAAGTAAATGAACCTTTTCCCACCTTCGGGGTAATAGGGCATATAGGGCTAGAGCTACATTTTATAGACCAATCAGCACTCAGTTCGCGATAAGGTCAGCATCACAAAGGTCACATTTACTTCCCATGACTTTACCTGCTACCCATTTAAGGTTGAGTGGACCTTGAAGCCAAGGTCATTTTTGAAAAAAGTCAGGCTCCAGCAAGGCCTGAACCCATGACCTTCTGATCCGCAGGTGAGAGTCTAATCACTATACTATAGCAGCTCTTATATTAGCAAAGAGATGTTGAGTATTAGCAGAGATGTTGATTTAACTAAGAGATATTAAACAGTTAACAAAGTGATGTTGAGTATTAGCAGATATGTTGATTTAACTAACAGATATTAAACAGTTAACAAAGAGATGTTGAGTATTAGCAGAGATGTTGATTTAACTAAGAGATATTAAACAGTTAGCAAAGAGATGTTGAGTATTAACCAGATTTGTTTTTGACTAAGAGATATTAAAGTCTAACAAAGTGATGTTGAGTATTAGCAGATATGTTGATTTAACTAACAGATATTAAACAGTTAACAAAGAGATGTTGAGTATTAGCAGAGATGTTGATTTAACTAAGAGATATTAAACAGTTTACAAAGAGATGTTGAGTATTAGCAGATATGTTGATTTAACTAACAGATATTAAACAGTTAACAAAGAGATGTTGAGTATTAGCAGATATGTTGATTTAACTAACAGATATTAAACAGTTAACAAAGTGATGCTAAGTATTAGCTGAGATGTTGATTTAACTAACAGATATTAAACAGTTAACAAAGTGATGTTGAGTATTAGCAGATATGTTGATTTAACAAACAGATATCAAAAAGTTAATAAAGAGATGTTAAGAAATGGCTAAAAATGTTTAGAATAAACAAAGAGATTTAGATTATTAGGAGACTAATGTTAAATATTAAATAACAGAATAATATATATTTGTTAGTTTTATATTATCTGGCACTTCCTTATTTCTACTTCCACCCCATGTTATTTCAACGTGCCAGTCTTCTTCTTCTTTGTGTTCACTGGTCCGAAACTATGGCAGACAATTCTGGCTGTTCATCCACTTCTGGACTTTAAGTCTTGTTTCATAACCTGAGTTTTGCATGCACATCTGTTTTACAGATGTGGCTTATTTTTATGCAGACTGTTGGTTCCTCACCTCTCAGGCAGATGCACTGACTTTGAAGTCTTGTCAACTAGCATTGGATTGGCACTATAAGCTGCGCATCACTGATGAATATGTTATGGGGGGAATCTGAGCACCTATGGATGTGTAAGGAGTGCTATGAAGATAACCCAACTCATAACTCACGACGACTTCGAAGGAAGTATCCGTAATTAGTCGACTCTTACATCATGCCTATTGGGGGCAGTAGGTCTATTCTACCCCCTCCCCCACAAGAGGGCCCCAGATCCCACATGGAGAAGTCTGTGAAAACAAACTTACAACCTTCACAGAGCAAGGCAAAGAGCTTTCCCACTTTGCCATGGAGACCCCTTTATAGCTGTGTCTTTCATGAGATAACCTGTTCCTATACTCTTCAAAAAGTTTGACTTCACAGAGTCCCTCAAGAGACAGGACAATTACCTCCAGTCCTGTCTTGCTTCTCTAGTCCTACAGCTTTAACAACTTTGATATGGGTCACCATGACAGGAGGTTTACCACAGCAGTTGTACCAAGGCTTCACTGGTTTCTCTTGGGTGAGCTCCCTGCAGACCAACAAAGGTTTACAGATATATTTACAACAAAGGTTTACAAACAATTATATAACACAAATATCTACAGACATATAAAACAAAGGTTTACAGATATAAACAACAAAGGTTTACAGACATATATAGAACAAAAGTTTACAGATATATATATACAACAAAAGTCTTCAGATGTATACAACAAAGGTCTACAGTCATATAAAACAAAGGTTTACAGAAATATACAACAAAGGTTTACAGACATATATACAACAAAGGTTTACAGACATATAAAACAAAGGTTTACAGAAATATACAACAAACGTTTACAGACATATATACAACAAAGATTTACAGATATATATAACAAAAATGTACAGACATATATACAACAAAGGTTTACAGATATATACAACAAAAGTCTACAGATATATACAACAAAGGTCTACAGACATATAAAACAAAGGTTTACAGAAATATACAACAAAGGTTTATAGATATATACAACAAAGTTTTACAGATATATATAACAAAAATATACAAACATTTACAGATACAACAAAAGATTTATATATATATATATATATATATATATATATATATATATATATATAATATATATATATATATATATATATATATATATATTATATACATATATAAACACAAGTTTACAGATATATACAACAAAGGTCTACAGACATAAAACAAAGGTTTACAGATGATTTAACACAGTCATTCTCAAACAATATGGTCAAGATTACAGGGCAGGTGTTGTTGGTGATTAAAAAAACACACACAAAAACTGAGAACCTGAAAGCATTTTTTTAACGACCCTTGTTGCTTGCGGGTTTTTCTTCTGGCCAATATTTATTTCTGGTGGCCACATGGTTCAGATTTTCTACTGGCCAGACAGAAATGTGATTTCTATTAGAGATACATCAGTTAAGTGACTTGTGTGTATTCCTGTTCGTACTTGTGGTATTGCAGACTGATGTCATGTGATGATGAAGGCCATCGGAGACAAAATTAGAAATTATATTATCAGACAGACTGTTGGAACAACACCATGCAGAAAATTTATTGAGAAACAGAAGATCAAATGGTTTGGTCACTTAGTAAGAATCCAGACAGAACAACTACCCATGCAGATGCTAGACATGAAAAGATCTGAAGTAAAAGAAAGAGCCCGCCCATGAAGAAGATAGACTAATGACTTTAAAGAGCTTCTAAATCGACATGGAATGACAACACCATGACAACAACCAGTTGCTGCCCAAATGTTGTTAACGGCATACTTAGATCTTTCCATAATTCTGAAATAACTAGCAGCACTAGTATAGACTCCTATATATACAGGAAACAAATAATGTGGAGGAGTTGCCGGGGATCTGGCCGATACTCAACATTCAAGAGAAAGGCGAGACAGATATACAATCACACAGTCACTGGTGCCATCAAAATAGGAATTCTACATTTGCTGCTGAAGATGGGGGCGGAGCACTTATGAGAGTGTCCTGAGTGCTATGATGTCGATTCATAACTGGCATCACTAGTATAGACTCCTATAGATACAGGAAACATATAATGTGACAATTTTATGTGAAATAACTGGCATCACTAGTATAGACTCCTACAGATACAGGAAACATATAATGTGACAATTGTATGTGAAATAACTGGCATCACTAGTATAGACTCCTACAGATACAGGAAACATATAATGTGAAAATTTTACGTGAAATAACTGGCATCACTAGTATAGACTCCTACAGATACAGGAAACATATAATGTGAAAATTTTACTTGAAATAACTGGCATCACTAGTATACACTCCTACAGATACAGGAAACATATAATGTGACAATTTTACTTGAAATAACTGGCATCACTAGTATAGACTCCTACAGATACAGGAAACATATAATGTGACAATTTTTACAAATAACTGGCATCACTAGTATAGTGACAGATACAGGAAACATATAATGTGACAATTTTACTTGAAATAACTGGCATCACTAGTATACACTCGTACAGATACAGGAAACATATAATGTGACAATTTTATGTGAAATAACTGGCATCACTAGTATACACCCCTACAGATACAGGAAACATATAATGTGACAATTTTACGTGAAATAACTGGCATCACTAGTATAGACTCCTACAGATACAGGAAACATATAATGTGACAATTTTACTTGAAATAACTGGCATCACTAGTATACACTCCTACAGATACAGGAAACATATAATGTGACAATTTTATGTGAAATAACTGGCATCACTAGTATAGACTCCTACAGATACAGGAAACATATAATGTGACAATTTTACGTGAAATAACTGGCATCACTAGTATACACTCCGACAGATACAGGAAACAAAGAAGAGACATTTCCTTTTAAATATTTGGCACCACTTATATAGACTCTTTAGATTAAAAAAACAAATGATATGAAAATCTGATCTCAAATTATTATGTTTTCATACATTATTATGTTATGTATTACTGTTATCATTATTATACTATTCTTTTTAATAAATGTTGTCTCAACAAGGAATATGAGGAGGAGAAGAAGAAGAAGAAGAAGAAGAAGAAGAAGAAGAAGAAAACAGATACCAGAAACAAATGATGAGAACATCTTACTTGAAATTATTGGCAGCACTAGTATAGACTCTCAACAGATAATCAGCCTGCTGGCCAGGATCAAAAGTGGAGGGTATGACGACATATCTGCCTTTCTTCAGCGGCCCGTGGCGCAAAAAAATGGACCTGCTGTTTCTGTACACTGTAGACTTCACCTTCTCATGCAGGTACAGGTCATGGATTCTGTATTCTCTGTTTAGCTCCACCTGAAAGAGGAGCAGTGTTTCACTGTTTCTGTCCCAAGCAATGCACCTCGTGATAATGGCTATTCTTCATGTGTACATCTGTGAGTGATTGTTTCGTAAAGATACCATAGAAAACACAACAGTCTGAATGAGAACAAGAACTTGTCAGCTTACCGGGGAAATACAACGATGAATGCAAAATTAACAATGGGACTACACAGTTTTCATCAGCACAGCATGCATGTATATGCGCACACACGCACACAGAGAGAGAGAAAGACAGAGAGAGAGAGAGAGAGAGAGAGAGAGAGAGAGGGGGGAGAGACAGTACCTCACAAAAATAATGATGTACCTACATAAAAACATACTAAAATAACAGTCTTTCAGTGAAGCATGTTGAAACATCCATCCAAAGCTTGTTGGAGTACACCCTAATTTGTCATCACAGACACTGACAATGGACAGGAAGTTATCTAGAGAGGTAGGAGAGGCTATGTGGGTAATAAAATGTTTTGATTAAGGGAAGAAGAGCAAAATATAGTTAGACAAAAGTGTATCAAACATTAATGCCATGAGGAGAAAGAGAATCCAAGACAGAAAAAACTGTCCAGCTCTGGGAACAAATGCAATTTCCATAAGAAAACAAGCAGAGACATTCCCAGCATGCATATCTAATGGCAATTATGGTTTGGGAAAAGAGAGATCATTCATCTGGGTTTCACAATATGAATTCTATGTTTGTTCTTTGTCCCCCAAAGGAGCACAGACCTTAAACCAGCATGCATCAAGTCATCCTTGACCTTCATCTGCAGCTTACCTGGTGAAGAAAAGACGCTGGCAATGGATAGGAAACATGCTGAGAAAAAGCATTTGAAAGTCGCATCATCAGGATCTACCCACCTGGGCACACAGGAGTAAATGGTAATAAAAAAGCTGACCAGCTGGCAAGTATTGCATCAATGCAAACAGATAGAAGCATAGACACGGCTGATATAAACTCTGTGCAAACTAGGTTAGGGGATAATGGCAAATCTCTGACATTAAAATGACTGTGTGACCGGGAAGTTGAGCTTGGTGAAGCACGTCTATGCCATCTTCAAGGTAAATTCTGGAGATACTATAACCAATTCCTCAGTGACAAAATCAGTAGAGGTACCTTGGAGTGGCTGCTGCATCGAAGGACTGAGCATAACTGGGGATGCCCAATGTGTGAAGATTGTGTGGACTGTGATAACATAACACAACTTACTCTGAGAACTGTAAAACCAATTGTTAAATTCTGCGACCCTTGCTTGTCTCTGGTCGACTTCTGCATCAGCTGGACCATACATTCATCACCTTCATCCACCACATCAAACATATACTGAAACAACAAACAAGCCATCATGTCTTTGTCCTACACAATGTTTGATACACAAATGGTAAATATTCAATCACTCATTATACCTCAATCTCTTCTTTTTCTGCTGGTTCATCAGCTGTAACCTCTGGTGGAAAGTTCTAGTTGTTCATCCACTTTTAGACTTTAGTCTTGTCCCAAAACTTCAGTTCTCCACTCATATCCATTTTATAGATCTGACTTATCTGTATGCAGACTTCCGGTTTCACGCCTCAAAAGCATAAGCATTCCGACTTTGAAGAAAACACCCCTAACTAGTCAACCTATATAACATGCTCGTTAGGGAGGCAGTCGGTCTATCCCCTCCCCCCTCCCCACTAATAGGCCCTGGAGCTCAGAAGTGGAATACGTCTAAATAATTATGATTCGGCATAAACAGTGGCGACAATAAACAGTGTGTGTTATTCAACGGGTGTGAAATTTTTCAGTGTTCTCGATGTGATTTACGTGTTTTCCAGTGTTCTCTTAAGGATGAATCTGTGTCAGGTCCAGCAAATCGGCAGTGGATTTAAGAGTTCACAAAAATCTGCTCTAGAAACAATATACGAGATTAGAAAATCCATCAAACGTAACAACAATCAGGGCTGGAGAACAGGTCAGCCATCTCTCACTCATTGTAAACAAACTAGCCAAGCGACAAAAATCGGAACATGGAATGTTTGTGGTCTTACAAATAAAGAACCAGAAATAGTAGAGTTCATGATGAAACATAAGATCGATATAATGGGAATATCAGATTGCAGGAAAAAGGCAACATAACAAAAGAAATTCATAACAACTATGTCATATTTTGGAGCGGGCGTTAAGAAAGAGCAGAGAGCGACTCACGGAGTCGGTTTTATTCTCCATCCGGATATCGCTAAACATGTAAAGAATATAGAATATGTATCTGAAAGGATTATAGTATTGCAACTCTACGGGAAAACAAGAAATACAAGCATTGTGCAGGTATACGCACCCCACCAATGATGGTTACACCTTGGAAGAGAAAGATAACTTCTTTGACTCAGTGTCGGATGTCATCAGTCAGATACACGCAAATGATGATCTTATGGTAATAGGTGACCTAAATGGGCATATAGGGCAGAGGCGAACACCGTGGGAGGAATATATCGGGCCACACTCAGACAACAGCAAAGTCTGCAATTACAACGGGCAGCGTATTTTAGAACTTTGTGCAGAGCATGGCCTTTATGTCACCAATAGTTTCTATCAGCATCGACAAAGCCAAATAAATACCTGGTATAAATGGAGCAACCCAGACCAGGCCGCACAGTTGGACTACATACTAAATCGACAAAGGAGAAGAAGCTTAGTAAAAGACGCAAAAGTAATTCCTAACATCTCTTTAAATACAGACCATCGACCGCTGATCGTATATCTAAGCGAAGCAACAATTAACAAAAAACCAAAAACATCAGTACGTACCTCAATGATTGACATAAGACACCTAAGCAATCTAGACAAACAAGCAAAAGTACAGGCAGAAATGACGGCGAAGATGGCTGAGCTAATAACATCAAGTGACAATGTGGAAGCTGCGTGGCAAAAATTTAAGAACACTCTTCTGAACTGCCTAACAACACTCTGTGGTATTAGATACACAGGAGGAACGTTCAGGAAAAAAACAGCATGGTGGAATGATAAAGTAAAACAAGCAGTGAAATGTAAAAAGGAGCAATACAAGAAATGGTTAAGATCCCGCTCAGATGACGATTATATCAAGTACAGAATTGCCAGGCGACAATCTGCAAGAGAAATTAAACAATCCAAGGAAATATCCTGGATCATGTATGGGGAAAATCTTACCAAAATCTGTGCTAAATCTAGTAGACAGTTTTACAAAACCATTGCAAAAATGAGGACTAGAGATGAACCATTCCAGCCATCTGAATATGTCAATGATAGTCAAGGCAAACCCATACATGAGGAGGGCAAGATCAGAGAAAGGTGGAAAGAATATTTTCAGACTCTTCTGAATGTAACAGGAAATGAGGAAACAGTACCATTCACACCCAGATGTACAAACTAGGAACAGCCTACAATAATCGAACAAGAAGTCAGAGAAGCAATCAGATGCAGTTCCAAAAATAAGGCATCAGGTGTTGATGGAATATCAGCCGAGGCAATACAGGCTTGTGGAGAAATTGGAGTCACCTGGCTACTCCACATATTTAGGAAAGCTTGGAATGAAAGAACTGTACCAATAGACTGGCAAAGAGCCCTTATAGTCCCAATTTGGAAAAGAAAAGGCAATAAGCAAGATTGTAACAATTACAGAGGCATCTTCCTTCTAAGCCACGTAGGAAAAATGTTTGCCAAAATTCTGGAACAACGAATTAGATCCTTTGTAGAACCGATCCTGAGCCCATCACAGGTCGGATTTAGGAAAGGAAGAGGGTGTACTGACGCTATTTTTGCTTTAAGACAAGTTAGCGAAAAGACAATAGAACACAGACATCAAATGAACATCGCTTTCATAGATCAAGAAAAAGCTTTCGATAGAGTAAACAGAAATTTATTATGGAAAGTTCTTGAAAACTACGGTATAAAAATGGAACAATTTTAGATTGTGTTAGGGCTATTTATAGACAAAATGAAAGCGCCATTAAAAACAAGAGCTGGCATCACAGACTGGTTCCCCTCAACATCAGGAGTAAGACAAGGTTGTGTATTATCACCTTTACTTTTCATAATATTTATGGACAATATTAATAAAATAGACATAACACAACAGATGTCGATAAACAGGAGGACTTCAATGATGCTGCTCTTTGCCGACGATCAATGCATATTTCACAGTGATAGTAAACAGCTGCAAGACCACATAAACCTACTATACGACAGTTGCCTCAAGCATCATATGAAGATCAATACTGAAAAGACAGAAGTCATGAGCATAAGTAGAGAGCAACAGACCATCGACATAAAGATTCTAGATCACAGCCTAAAACAAGTGCAAGAATTTAAATACCTGGGAAGTATCTTTACATCCAATGGTAAAATAGACAGAGAGATCGAGCAAGAATCCAACAAGCCAACAAATGTCGCATACCAGCATGCCCCAATTTTAAACACACCTGCTGTCCCAGCTGAGATTAAAAGAGACAAATGACAATCTTCATACCGACATTAGTTATCAATGTCAGACTTGGACATTAACAAAAGAACACGAGAGAAGACTAACCACCTGTGAAATGAGATGTTTGAGAATGGCTGCGAATAAAACCAGAAGAGATCGAGTGAGAAACGATGTGATTACAAGAACTATTGGAACCATACCCATAGTTAAATTTATTGAGAAGCAAAGAATGAAATGGTTTGGTCACCTAATGAGAATGGAACCAACGATGCCAGCATCAAGAGCATACAACATGAAAATCGAAACAACAAGAGGCAGGGGAAGACCAAGAAGAAGATGGATTGAAGGAGTCACGGACAACTTGAGACTTCATAACATCACGGCATATGAAGCGACTGAGCGCGCCCTGGCTCGGTTGCCGATCATCTGATAGACTGCGACGCCTAGCGGCACAAGCAGATTTTGACAAAAGAAAGATAAACAGTGGAAAAAAATAAGCAACTGTAACTGAAAGAGTGCTCTCTAAGCGAGTTCCGTGGCCCAATTTTGAGGTGTGCGGTAGGGTGGGGGGGGGGGGGAGGGGGAAGGGTACTGCTCATTCACAAGCATGCTGTAAAACGCAATGAATAAACCTTTTCACTCCATACAAATCATAAAACATGACACTTTCATAATGTGCATTGAAAAAGAGACATATTTTTACAAGTCTATGAAATTCTACCCTACAATGAGGAAAACAAGAACAAGTAGTCACAATAAAAAATTTGTATAAAAACAAGAAAAGCTGACATGATTTCCTCTTCCTCGCTAAGCCAAAATCTCATCATTTGTAGGGTGACAGATTTTAGGATACACTGAAACTGGAGGTGTTTGGCCAAAAAGCGTAGATATCACAGCCTAGCTGTAAAGCACAATATTTTTAAGGGCGAACAAAGAAAAAGAAAAAGAAGAAAAAAATCGTCTGAGTCTAAACAGTGACAAAAATAGCATAATGGAACAGGCAGAGTTAAAATAAGAACTGTGCACAGACAGTGAGGGCAACAACTAGATAGGTCACAAGGAGTTCAGAGAAGTAGATCACGTCAGCTGAAACTAACAATCGCATGGTAAACTGCTAAGTACTGAAGGAGTTAAAGAATGGAAATATGCATCTGACATCATTCTCCTCAAGACAGGAAGATGGTAAACTGATTTGAGAAATTAGACTCAGATGGTCATTATTTTTGTGAGGACACTTTATGAGAAAGAATGGGCCCTAGAGCATTGTGACAACTGGCAAAATTTATGGAAAGAGAGTAAGGAAAAGACAACTAGATATTTACCTGGATAGTTTGGTGATATAGGGGATGGGGGAACAAGAACAATGACATGGTCCGCATTCTTGTGATCATGTGAGTTGGCAAAACATGACCATGTATACCAATGCCAATTAAGTTGGCACATAAGCCAAAATGCTGATCGTCACGAACCACAGGTCAAGCCCCAGTATAGAAAGATCATTACCAGAATACAACTGGCAGATGACTCAATGGCCACTTGATTAGCCTCAGCAAACCAGATTCTTCCTGTAAGTCACTTATCAGCAGGGCACATACACGTGATGATGATGATGATGATGATCTGACAACCATTTACCTGTGGGTTTTTCAAGAAAGTTTCCTGGTTGTTAGGGCAGCCCCCAGCTCTGTCAGGAGTCTTCCACTGGCCATGGGCTAGTCCTTCATGCCAGGTTTTTGTCAGGCTCAGGTAAGATGTATTCACCACACGGCAGATGCAGGTCTGCACAAAATACTTGCAGTAATCCTCAAATGTCATCCTTATGAATATCACCATGAACATATTACTGACACATTTGTCCAACAGTTGATCAAACAAACAAAAACAGTTCAAAGTAATGTTTTCCCATTCTGAATTTAAATAATGAAATAATGAATGAAAGACAAAATATACAAATACACTTTCTTCTTTGCACTCACTGGCTATAAACTCTGGCAGAAAGTTCGGATTTTTTTGGGTCCACTCCTGGACTTTGGTCTTGATCCAGAACCTGAGTTTTGCGTGCATTTCTTTTTATCTTCTTCTTCTTCGTGTTCACCAGCTGTAAACTTTGGCGAAAAGTTCTGGTTGTTCATCCACTTTCGGACTGCAGTTCTGTTCCAGAACCTGAATGTTGCATGTGCATCTGTTTTACAGATCTGACTCATTTGTATGCAGACTGCTGGTTCCTTACGTCTCTGGCAGATGCACTCCGACTTCGAAGGAAGCTCCCAATTTGTCGACTCTTACGACATGCTTTTGGGTAAGCATGGGTCTATTCTTGTTTTCCCTATAATAGGGCCCTTAACCCACACAATGAATTTCTTTTTATAAGATCTGGCTTATTTGTATGCAGTCTGTCAGAGCAGATGCACTCCGACTGTAAAAGAAACAGCCTATCTACCACCCCCTGAAATATTAGACTGTCCTGTGACCTGATGATTTCCCATGTTTGGGGTAGGTTATAAGGAAGTAACCATTTGTCCCCTTTCGACTATAAACTAAAGGTTTACCATACCTTCCTGAGACTGAAAAATATGAATCTGGATGGCATACCAACAAGGCAGAACCCAGATACCCGTATTCAACCTCCAAAGAAATGTATAACTAGGGCATCTGTAACAGCTACATCAGACTTGTAAAACCTAGTTATATGCGAGCAAGGACGTATGCCTGACATATCCTGCTGTGTCTTATCAAGGGCATATCCCCCCCCCCCCCCCCCACCACCAAAATCCTTTCAACTGAAAAACACAGGAATGCTGGTCCTTGTTCACTTTCGATTTTACCACTGCAGCCTTCAATGGTTGTGGCATATAGAGATAATAGCAGAAAGCTTAAAATTGCATACACAAAAGAGTTGTATGGCAGCAGATGAGGCAGACCAAGATTACTGTGGAGAGATAATATACAGACAGACCTACAAACATTTGGAGTCAACAAATGGAATCAGAAGACCAGTCACAAAGATGAACAGAAGTGGGTGATATCTGCAGCAATGAGCCCAAGGACTTGGAATACTGAAGAAGTCTGAGACTTAATACATATTCGTTTTGCTTGCAAAACTGCTCAATATGATATATAGTGTGTGCCGAAGTATGCAGAGGCAATGGCAATATAAAAGGCACACAGTTCTGTGTTATACAAACAAAAAGAACACGTGGTCAGTATAAGTCTGACACAAAAAACAACGACATAAACATGGTTTTTCCAAATTGTAGAATCTCCTATAAAAAGTATAATGGAGATGCCTTAAAAGAAAATAACCTCATGAGCCGATTACCAGCATCAGAAGGATACAATCTACATTCTTTAGACATGCCATGGGAATGGGGAAAGATGATGTACATCTGGGAATGGGGAAAGCTGATGTACATCATGGGAATGGGGAAAGCTTATGTACATCATGGGAATGGGGAAAACTGATGTACATCATGGGAATGGGAAAAGCTGATGTACACCATGGGAATGGGGAAGGCTGATGCACACCATGGGAATGGGGAAAGTTGATGTACACCATGGGAATGGGAAAAGCAGATGTACACCATGGGAATGGGGAAAGCTGATGTACTTCGTGGGAACGGGGAAAGCTGATGTACATCATGGGAATTGGGAAAGCTGATGTACATCATGGGAATGGGGAAAGCTGATGTACATTATGGGAATTGGGAAAGTTGGTGGACATCATCGGAATGGGGAAAGCTGATGTAGATCATGGGAACTGGGAAAGTTGATGGACATCATGAGAATGGGGAAAGTTGATGTACATCATGGGAATTGGGAAAGTTGATGGACATCATGGGAATGGGAAAGTACATCATGAAAATGTCAAAGTTGTAGGGGAAGAGAGACAGATGGAGATCAAGAGAGAAGATGCCGGGCAGTTTGGCATCATGGCCTGCAGGATCAGAACTGACTAAAGATATAATGAAACAGAATGCGGGGAAAAATACATGACTACCAATGTCACATGGCAGAGACTAGAAGAAGAAGAATCACAGCTTGTTAAAGAATGTGCAGGAGGGAAAAAGTGAAGGGAAAGCATGCAAGAGGAAGACAAGGTTGCATATTTGTGGGCAACATCAAAATGATTAACCAGAAGCAGCCTGTGTAAGCTTTGAGAGAGAACTAAAGAAATCTCAGTAAATCCAGATGTGACGAAAACAAACTGGTAGGACACAAACGTAGAAAATAAATATAGTAAATAATTACATTGGCAGAGTCAGAAATTCATATAACTGATGAAAAAGAGTACATGTTGTGTAGTTTTCACATTATGTATAATAATTATACTTACATAGATTCAACTTATGTTTTATGGGCAATTTGTATAACCCATTTGAATGAAAATAGTATTAAAAAATATAAAATCGACTCTCGACCAGTTCAACTTATGACGTGTTAGTTGGAAAGGAACTCGTCGTAAGTCAAGAAGACCCTGTATAACTAAGGTGTGCTGTACTGTAACCCATACTGCTCCCCCACACGCCCTCCCCGCAAGCTAAGCATCCCCACAATTACCCACCAAAGATCAGCAGAAATTATGGCGAAGGAAGAACAATGGGCCATTCTCTGACTAACAAGTCTACACTTACCAGAATTCTCCATCCTCATCAAATGTCAAACCAATTTTATCTCTGTCAGACTTGCTAATTTTGTTCCATTCTGGTGACCTGGCATGTGAAGTCAAATGTTACATTAAAACAGTTCATACATCATACACAGTTGTGAATGTGACATTGTGAACTGACTAATTTACTCCTTTCTATTATATTTCTATATGATATGTCACATCAAGTTATTCAGTCCCACACATATTACATGTCTGGTGGTGGAAAGCTGACTAGTTTACTCATTTCTATTATACTATTTCATGATATGTCACATCAAGTTATTCAGTCCCACATATAATACGTGTCTGGAGGTGGGAAGCTGACTAGTTTACTCATTTCTATTATACTATTTCATGATATATGATCAACAGTGTCTTAGATCAGGCCAGCACTCTTGTCCCAATTATGTCACTTGGCCAAGCCATCCAAGTATTAATCCCTTTTTTTTCTCTATGCAGGTTTTGGAGTGCCATCTGGTGAAAGGATGATGGTGGGAAGGGAAGAGAATATCATCCTTATCATAAAGTTCCTTGCGGACTGGCATGGGCGATCATGCCTCTCCAGTCTGCAACTATGTATATCAGTTTGTATGTTGACACCACTCTATGCCCTGACACAAGGCGGTGGAGAATCTTTTTCTGCACTGTTTTCCTCTGTCTTTCCACAGATCTTTTCAGTGGGTCACAACATGTTCCATTTTCCCTCTCCTCATAACATGACCAGGAAATGATGACTGTCTCTTTCTAGTGTTTGGGTTAAGTTGTCTTCAAGCACCTGCCTCTTTCAAAACATTTGTGTTAAGTTGTCTTCAAGCACCTGCCTCTTTCAAAACATTTGGGTTAAGTTGTCTTCAAGCACCTGCCTCTTTCAAAACATTTGGGTTAAGTTGTCTTCAAGCACCTGCCTCTTTCAAAACATTTGGGTTAAGTTGTCTTCAAGCACCTGCCTCTTTCAAAACATGTGGGTTAAGTTGTCTTCAAGCACCTGCCTCTTTCAAAACATTTGGGTTAGTTTTCTTCAAGCACCTGCCTCTTTCAAAACATTTGGGTTAAGTTGTCTTCAAGCACCTGCCTCTTTCAAAACATTTGGGTTAAGTTGTCTTCAAGCACTTGCCTCTTTCAAAAAATTTGGGTTAAGTTGTCTTCAAGCACCTGCCTCTTTCAAAACATTTGGGTTAAGTTGTCTTCAAGCACCTGCCTCTTTCAAAACATTTGGGTTACTCTTCTTAGCTGCCCAAGGAAATTCTAAGGATTCTTCTGTAAAACCACATCTCCAAGGCATCAAGATATTGTTGGGCTTGATTACTAATCTTCCAGGATTCAAAGCCATATGTTAAAACCGGCTCTATATAGCTTGCAAGAATTCTTCTCCTAACCTCAAATGCCATTGATTTATTGCATGTCTTCATTTACAGGGGTGTCACGAGTGCTGTGATGTCGATTCTTAATTCAAAATTCAATCAACATTCACTCAACATTGAACAAAATGTTCTCTGATCTAAACCAACCCCAATTAATCAGAAAAATTCCAGGAACCAACATTCATTGAATATTAAACGAAATGTTCTTCATCTGATAAAGGGCAGAGTACACTGTCTCTTGATAAGCACATCATAAGAGATGCCTAATTAGGAGTTTCCTGACATCACATATGTTGGATAAAAAAAAGTGCAGATATCACAGCCTAGCTGTGAGCCGCAACACAACCTGTCAGCTGCCCTTTTAAGGGTGAATACAGAAGAAGAAACGAACAAACAACAGGACATTAAGTTCAAGAAACACAATTATTATAACACGATGCCACTGTTGTTGCTGGCACCTTTCCGTCATTTCAGACTGCGAGGGATCTCTTAATTTGTTTTTCAGGTCCTTATTTAAAAAGATCATGGATCTGAATCTCCACCAGGAAGATTTCTTTTATATACATCTTGTCCTACAGGTCAACCCAGTCGAAAAGGGGCATCAGTGAATGTCATGGGAAGTAAAGGCGACTGGCATAATGCTGACAACATCACCCATCTAGCAACCACATCACCCATCTAGCAGCCACATCACCCATCTAGCAACCACATCACCCATCTAGCAACCACATCAAGCATCTAGCAGCCACATCACCCATCTAGCAGCCACATCACCCATCTAGCAGCCACACCACCCATCTAGCAACCACATCACCCATCTAGCAACCACATCACCCATTTAGCAACCACATCACCCATCTAGCAACCACCCATCTAGCAACCCATTACAAATCTAGCAACCACATCACCCATCTAGCAACCACATCAAGCATCTAGCAGCCACATCACCCATCTAGCAACCACATCACCCATCTAGCAACCACATCACCCATCTAGCAACCACATCACCCATCTAGCAACCACATCACCCATCTAGCAACCACATCACCCATCTAGCAACCACATCACCCATCTAGCAACCACATCACCCATCTAGCAACCACATCACCCATCTAGCAACCACATCACCCATCTAGCAACCACATTCAAGCATCTAGCAGCCACATCACCCATCTAGCAACCACATCAAGCATCTAGCAGCTACATCACCCATCTAGCAACCACATCAAGCATCTAGCAACCACATCACCCATCTAGCAGCCATATCACCAATCTAGCAACCACATCAAGCATCTAGCAGAGTTAGCATCATATGCCCAATGCAACAGTGGCGGTAAAAATGGTTTTCTTTACTTTTTATTTTACTGTTTACAGAACAGGTATCTGGAACCACAACCTATCTTCTGTTTTTTTTATAAATTCACTCTTAAAAGGGTGGTTGGCATGCTATGTTGTGATGTACATTTAGCTAGGCTGCGATATATGCACTTTTTGACCTAACATATCTGGTGATCTGCAACCTGCCAATTAAGAACTTGTTTGAATCAAGACAAATGCCTACCCATCACTGAAAGCTCCTTTCCATTCGCCCTGCCCCCATGGATTTCGAAGTCGTATCATGGGCAGTTTTTCCCGGTTAAACAAGCCAAACAGACCAGAGCCTTCTAGGTGCACATTTTTCACACAGGTGATGCCATAAGCATGACCTTTCACCAAGCCAATGTCTGTACTTGCTTCCATTTCTTCAGCAGATGTGGCCTAAAATAAGACAAGTTTAGACAAACTTCGATGATTAAACTCAAATGGACTCAGAATAAAGATATTCTGACCCTAAGATAGACGATTTTCTCTGAGTTGGTTCTAAGGTAGATTATATTATAAGAGTGTGTTCTAAGACAGATGATATTCTCCGAGTGGTTCTAAGATAGATGAAATTTTTTGAGTTAGTTCTTAAACAGATGATATTATCCTAGTGTATTGTAAGATAGATAATATTCTTTGAGTGGGTTCTAAAAAAGATGATATTATCCTAGTGTATTGTAAGATAGATAATATTCTTTGAGTGGGTTCTAAAAAAGATGATATTATCCTACTGTATTGTAAGATAGATAATATTCTTTGAGTGGGTTCTAAAATAGATGATTTATCCTAGTGTATTGTAAGATAGATAATATTTTTTGAGTGGGTTCTAAAATAGATGATTTATCCTAGTGTATTGTAAGATAGATAATATTCTTTGAGTGGGTTCTAAAATAGATGATATTATCCCAGTGTATTGTAAGATAGATAATATTCTTTGAGTGGGTTCTAAAATAGATGATATTATCCTAGTGGGTTCTAAAATAGATGATATTTTCCTAGTGGGTTCTAAAATAGATGATATTCTCCTAGTGGGTTCTGGGTCCCCCATTGCCGCCCCTAATAACCAGGTCATGAAAGTTGATTACTTAGGTATTTGCCAAAATAGGATGTGTTGGGCCGAAAGAAGCAGATATAACAGCCTAGCTGTAAACCACAGCACAATATACCAACTGCCCTTGTCAATGCGACTGCAACAAAAAAAAAAAAGACAATAGATGATACAAGGGAGAAAAAAAATAATCAAGATGCAAAGAAACCAGCAACAAGTCAATTCCTAAGGTGAAGCTACTCCTTGAGGTAAAAACTGAATGTATAATCTATAATCCAGAGATTTCCAGTCTGTGTTTCGTGATACATTAGTGTGTCGGCTGCAGTGTGAAGGGGTGTCATGTGAACATAAAGCATTAAACAGAATAATCAGCATGCAACGTTAAACTTCAAACTCTTGTTTGCTAGTAGACTGAATTAGTGTGTCATAAAGTTATGTCTCTCTTGGGAAGAAAAAAATGTGCCACCAACATAAGCAATTTGGAAAGCTCTGATCTAAACCAACCCCAATTAATCAGAAAAATCCAGGAACCAAAATTATCAAGGACAGAGCGAAATCCAAAGTGGAAACTTCTGGTTGGCATTTCTAAGGGTCAGTCTATTAGTTCTGAGGATTAAAACTGAAAAGCAAAGTAAGAAATGTGAAGTGCCCTGATTATGCTTGCCTTTAGAGCAGTGAAGGGCACGAAAAAGGGGGTAAATATTTAGACTGAGGATTTAGATCTGAAGGTTACTGCAGTCGCCATAAACTGTGCAGGGTAGGATGTTTTTTATGCCTCTGATAAAAAAAAAAAAAAAAAAAAACAACTTTCGTCACCTTAAAAAAGATTAAAACCCACGTCTCCCACACGAATGCCCAGGGTTCTAGCCACTCCTCTTAGTACCTCAGATTGTGTGTAGTCGTATAATTTTCTCTAAACATACTTTCTAATGATTCTTACTAAAGAAAAATGTATCAGGTTATGCGCAATTTAGTCTATGCGATGATGATGATACTGTATTTTGAAAAAAAAAGAAAAAAAAAAAAAACTTTAGTTTACAAGAGTCAACTTACTGGAATTGAAGCAGCCATTAGAGACTTCCTGTCCATCTCCTTCTGCATGCGAGCAAACAATGCCACCCTTTCATCTGGCTTTGTGGCCAGATCCATCTCCAGCATGTTCAGAGTGTCGGACACACCTCCAGAAAAATCCTCCAGAGCCTCACTCAGCTCCCCGCCATCCAGGGCCTCATAGTTGCCAAAAAGCCTACAAGAAGGTCCATTTATTGGTATAACCAGAGACAGGATCATAAACGATAATATCAAGAAACAAGTTAGGACCCAGTTGTGTCATCATCAGGTGTCATCACTGGGGGGGGGGGGGGGAATTGTGTTTTAAATAAAAATAGAGGGAGCAAAAATGTTACATAGATCCTGTTCTGCTGTATGGCAGCGAATCTTTGAACGTCACTGAACAAATTAAGAAGAATTTGGAAGCAACAGAGTTGTGGTTTTTGAGACCAATGTTACGAAATACCTTGGATGGCCAGAGTAACTAACAACGATTGCGTTTGAAAGAGGCCAATGAAAGTATATCTCTATGTACAACAATAAAAAGAGACAAACACTGTTCTTTGGCCACATGATGAGAAGAGAGACATTGGAGAACATCGTGACAACTGGAAGATCAGTGGAAAAAAGGGTAGAGGCAGACCAAGAGAGATGATGCTGGATGGGCTGAAACAATGGCATGGAAGGATATCATCAAGATAGCTGCTCTAGTCAACCAGGGATTGTGACACATTTGCTAACTACTGTGTTTACCGACACATTTGCTAACTGCTGTGTTTACAGACACATTTGCTAACTGCTGTGTTTATGGACAAGTTCGTTAACTACTGTGTTTACAGATACATTTGCTAACTACTGTGTTTACAGACGCATTTGCTAACTGCTGTGTTTACAGACACATTTGCTAACTGCTGTGTTTATGGACAAGTTCGTTAACTACTGTGTTTACAGATACATTTGCTAACTGCTGTGTTTACTGACAAGTTCGTTAATTACTTTTTTTACAGACACATTTGCTAACTGCTGTGTTTAAAGACACATTTGCTAACTGCTGTGTTAACAGACACATTTGCTAGCTGCTGTGTTCACAGACACATTTGCTAGCTGCTGTGTTTACGGACACATTTGCTAACTGCTGTGTTTACAGACACATTTGCTAACTACTGTGTTTACAGACACATTTGCTAACTACTGTGTTAACAGACACATTTGCTAACTGCTGTGTTAACAGACACATTTGCTAGCTGCTGTGTTCACAGACACATTTGCTAGCTGCTGTGTTTACAGACACATTTGCTAACTGCTGTGTTTACGGACAAGTTCATTAACTGCTGTGTTTACAGACACATTTGCAAACTACTGTGTTTACAGACAATTTCGTTAACTAATGTGTTTACAGACACATTTGCTAACTGCTGTGTTTACAGACACATTTGCTAACTGCTGTGTTTACAGACACATTTGCTGCTGTGTTTACAGACACATTTGCTGCTGTGTTTACAGACACATTTGCTGCTGTGTTTACAGACACATTTGCTAACTACTGTGTTCACAGACAAGTTAGTTAACTACTGTTTTTACAGACAAGTTTGTTAACTAGTGTGTTTGGAGGCAAATTTGTTAACTACTGTATTTACAGACAAGTTTGTTAACAGCTGTGTTTACAGACACATTTGCTAACTACTTTGTTTACAGACAAGTTTGTTAACTGCTGTGTTTACAGACAAGTGTGTTAACTGCTGTGTTTACAGACAAGTTTAATAACTGCTGTGTTTACAGACACTTTTGCTAACTACTTTGTTTACGGACAAGTTTGATAACTACTGTGTTTACGGACACATTTGCTAACTACTGTGTTTACAGACACACTTGCTAACTACTGTGTTTAGAGACACATTTGTTAACTACTGTATTTACAGACAAGTTTGTTAACTACTGTGTTTACAGACTTATTTGCTAACTACTGTGTTTACAGACACATTTGCTAACTACTGTGTTTACAGACACATTTGCTAACTACTGTGTTTACAGACACATTTGCTAACTACTGTGTTTACAGACACATTTGCTAACTACTGTGTTTACAGACACATTTGCTAACTACTGTGTTTACAGACATATTTGCTAAGCACTGTGTTTACAGACACATTTGCTAACTGCTGTGTTTACAGACACATTTGCTAACTGCTGTGTTTACAGACACATTTGCTAACTACTGTGTTTACAGACACATTTGCTAACTACTGTGTTTACAGACACATTTGCTAACTACTGTGTTTACAGACACATTTGCTAACTACTGTGTTTACAGACATATTTGCTAAGCACTGTGTTTACAGACACATTTGCTAACTGCTGTGTTTACAGACACATTTGCTAACTGCTGTGTTTACAGACACATTTGCTAACTACTGTGTTTATAGACACATTTGCTAACTACTGTGTTTACAGACACATTTGCCAACTGCTGTGTTGACAGACACATTTGCTAACTACTGTGTTTACAGACACATTTGCTAACTACTGTGTTTACAGACACATTTGGAAGAGCATATCCCAATACCCCTAATGCAAAATGGTCCTTCACTATACTTTAACTGATATACTCTAAAACATTCTTGTTTAAGATATCATGTACACTGAACCTGTCAGGAAGTTTTCATACTTAAAAATCCACATGTAGGTAACATCGCTTAATTTTTGGGGATAGAGGATTAGGCGACTGTGGTGAAAAGGAGGGGGAACAGATAAAAAAGGTGTGTGTGAGTATGTGTGTGGGAGTGGGGGGAATTAGCTGACAATTTCCCCTAAATAAGCAGGTCATGTTGAAATTTGACATGCAAGGTTGAAAAAGTGCAGATAATGTAGCCTAGCTATAAACCACAATACAACACACCAACCGTACTTTTAAGGACGAATACAGATGAAGAAGAAGAAACAGCAGCAGAAACACAAGAAGAAGATGGATGTCAGAAAGAAGAAGAAGGAGGAAGAGAAAAAGAAAAAAAATGAGAAGAATAAGATATTCAAGAATCACTTACTTTGCATATGCTTTCTCCAGAAGAGCCGACCAGAACTCATTTCTGCTCTGGGAGTGAATGAAGACCAGCCTGTCATTAATAGTTGGCAGCAAGTCATCTATGACAACTTCCACCCATTCTCCATACCTCCAGAAGTTGAAGCGGAAAATACCCTGGTAGTTGTCGGGTTTCTCTGGATCCCATTCTTGATTCTTCTGATCAGGGATTACCTGCAGATGACAAAGTGATGAGATTTAATCTTCTTCTTCTTCGAGTTCACCAGCTGTAAACTCTGGCAGAAAGTTCTGGTTGTTCATCCACTTCTGACTGCAGTCCTGTTCCAGAACCTGAGTGTTGCGTGTGCATCTGTTTTACAGATCTGACTTCTTTGTATGCAGACTGCTGGTTCCTTGCCTCTCAGGTAGATGCACTCCCACTTTGAAGAAAACTCTCCGTGTGGGTTCCGGGGCCCTGTTAAAGAGAAAACAAGAATAGACCCACTGCCTACCCAAAAGCATGTCGTAAGAGTCCCATGAGATTTAATGATAACTGTCATTTATTTCATATCTGGGCTCATAAGAAAAGAAATCCACAAAAAACCCAGAAAAGAGATCTGACTCATTTGTATGCAGACTGCTGGTTCCTTGCCTCTCAGGTAGATGCACTCCCACTTTGAAGAAAACTCTCCGTGTGGGTTCCGGGGCCCTGTTAAAGAGAAAACAAGAATAGACCCACTGCCTACCCAAAAGCATGTCGTAAGAGTCCATGAGATTTAATGATAACTGTCATTTATTTCATATCTGGGCTCATAAGAAAAGAAATCCACAAAAAACCCAGAAAAGAGATCTGACTCATTTGTATGCAGACTGCTGGTTCCTTGCCTCTCAGGTAGATGCACTCCCACTTTGAAGAAAACTCTCCGTGTGGGTTCCGGGGCCCTGTTAAAGAGAAAACAAGAATAGACCCACTGCCTACCCAAAAGCATGTCGTAAGAGCCCATGAGATTTAATGATAACTGTCATTTATTTCATATCTGGGCTCATAAGAAAAGAAATCCACAAAAAACCCAGAAAAGAGATCTGACTTCTTTGTATGCAGACTGCTGGTTCCTTGCCTCTCAGGTAGATGCACTCCCACTTTGAAGAAAACTCTCCGTGTGGGTTCCGGGGCCCTGTTAAAGAGAAAACAAGAATAGACCCACTGCCTACCCAAAAGCCTGTCGTAAGAGTCCATGAGATTTAATGATAACTGTCATTTATTTCATATCTGGGCTCATAAGAAAAGAAATCCTTGTGTAGGCTCCTGGTATCCATTTCAGGGAAAATTGGGGGGGGGGGGGGGGGGGGGGGGACCCACTGCCTCTCCAAATAAACATGTCAAAAAAAGTCAACAAAACAGGGGTCTTTTTTTTTTTTGAAGTCCTATTGCATCTGCTAGAGAGGTGAGCAACCAAAAACCTGCATAAAAATAAGCCAGACCTGTAAAACGGATGTGCAAGCAATATTCAAGTTTTGGAACAAGACTAAAGTCCAGAAATGGACCCCCAAAAAACCCAGAAATGTCTGCCGGAGTTTACAGGCAGGGAGAAGACAATAAGGACAGAAAAAAAAGATGTAACATCATTTGCATTTTCAGGGTTTAGACAAACTGAATGACACTACGTTTGAATTTAGAGTTACACTCATAGCATTCCAGTGGATTCACAAACAAGCAACCAACCAACCTTCTCCTCCTCGTCTTCCTTGATTTACCTCAGCCAAGTGTTAGGAGAAGGAGGTGTAAAGATTCTCTGTGTGCTATTTCTGACCATTGACCAACTGTGCAAGTTGGTCTTCATTTCATTAAACAGCCATGCCCAAAGAGAAAAAGGGAAATATGTGTGCTTGTGTGTGTGTGTGTGCACATACACCAAGTTCAACAAAACAAGATGATCAAACCAAATGAATACATTTTTTGGACCAGGAGATGCCAGCTGGCTGTAAATCCCCTGGAAGACTGTGAGCTATAACTCTTTAAATACACTAATATTCAGATACTCTGAGCCTTGAAAGGGGCTTGCATCTATCACAGTGAAGCTGGTGAACTGACTGTCCTCCTGATCCAGTACAGAAGATTCATCGCCATGTAGACTGTGCTGCTGAGTTCTTTCCACCCCAAGCTCAGGAGCCATCAGTACCCACAAGACCCGTTGTGGAACTTCACACCAACAGATGGGTATGCCGATGGTAAGGGCAAAGTTCTTCAGCAGATGCTTACGTTTTAGGTATTCATATATTGAAGGCCACAACATCTCAGATGAGTTACCCAGTTTAAATAATAATTGTGGTACTTATTTAAAGACAAAGTTAAAGGTTAAATTTGAGAGGATCCTCTTCATTACACCGGGTTTAATTCGATATGGCTTAAACTCTCCTGGCAGAATGACTAGCCACCTGCCGAGAGCGACGCACACAGCACGAACTCAGTGGCTCTGGCAATGATCCCCAGGAATCTCAGTAAAAACTGCACTTGTGAACTGAACTGAAGGGTGCAGCCATGAAATGAATGAAACCCCCTATGAGGATGATACAATTGCTGAGAGCTGTATTAGATTTCAAACTGTGTGCAGGGAAGTGAATCCAAGCCAATTTCTTGCCAGGTGAGAAAACCAACCAGTGTTGCAATTCTTCTTCACTTCTTCTGTTGCCACTTTGGGTACTGATGGAGACACAAGGTTCTGCTTTTGCATTGATATTAAATCCACTGCTGGCTTGCTAGGCCTGTCTTCCCTTTACTGTACCCAACCACTGGCAGGCTTTCTAGTTTTTAAGAGTTGATAAAAGAAACAATGAAGGAAAAAGGGGAAAAAATACCTTGTGCCAAACTTCCTTGAAAGAAGCCAAACAAGAGCTCGCAGCCACAAACCAACAGTTTCCCAGCTTTCCTTGCGTGACATCACCGGAGCTGGCTCCCTCTACAAACAGTTTAGGGTTATCGCAGATTTGCTGTAGACACACACAATTGATACTGTTTAACTGTAACGTCTTCAGCAGCAATAACTAATTACCTCACTCAGTCCCAAGCTTCTTCTTCTGCGGGTTTACCGGCTGCATATTACGACAAACAGTTCTGGTTGTTTGTCAAATTCTGGACCTGTCTTACTCCCGAACATGAGTTTTGTGTGCATATCATGTTTCATTTGTTATTTTATGATCCCTACTGATCTCACCACAAGCATAATTTATTATAACGCTAATGGTTTGATTTACTGAGCTTTGGAACAACTTTTATGTGTGGTCAAGTTTTGACAATATCATGTCTACTGGTGGAGCTTAGAATATACTGAGCTTTATGATAAATTTCTAAAATTTTAAAATTGGACTGGACATTGTAAATTTTTTAAATACTTCTTTACAATATCTTACTAACTGTTCCCTCATCTTCTGCCTCATAAAATTACTTAAACTGAGTTGATTTTTGAAATGACATAACAGCCCTCATGTCATTCCCATAAGCGCTCGGTCCCTCCATCCCTATCTTCAGCAGCCGGCTCAGAGTTCCAATAGCAATGGTACCAGTAGCAGCCTGAGTGGTACGTGTCAACCAGACCCTCTGGTCACTCCCGACTGCATCACTCTTACTTGACTGTGATGATCCACTTCCTTCTCTGAATTGTATATGTGCTCCCATGACATTTACTTCTAAACATCATTAATTGGCAAAATACAGGGTAAAGTAGGACTAAGGAGCTCAGCCACAGAAATTTTACCTAAAAAGGGTTCAACCAGTTAAAAGTTCTGAGAACCACTGGTGCGGTCTGAAAAATACAGCCTGTTTAAAATGGAGACTAGCAACATTGAACCCACTGACTACAACGGCCACATATAAATGCCATCAACAGAATTTACACCTCGCTAACATGACCACACCCTCTGAAGTCGTTATGTTGGGTGCTCAACACAAAGTTATAATTGTGATTTTTGTTATCAATTTTTCTTGAAGCCATTAGTCAATTCATTTCTCTTTGTTTCATTAATCTAAACATTTCTGTAGTGCTGAAAGTAAATTTTTCAAGAATTAAATTTTGGAGAGCTTCCATGTTGAAATGCATTAGAAGGATGTTTTGATACTGGCGGGCGATCAGAACCAGTACAGTCGACTAATGTTTGGGAATATTTCTGATGCTATAGACCACTTTCTTGACTTTTCAAATAATAAAGTTAAGATGAAGATATTCTGAACAGTTTGACAACAGTGACTTCGATAATTCTTGTGAACCGCCATCAAAAACATCATCACAACTGAAAGGCGAGGTAGTCGGATGTAAGTATGTTACGTTACATCAGCTATTGCAGACTATTTTTTTGTATGTGCTTTATGTGAGTATTTTTAAATGCATCTGTTAGTGTAGATAGTATATTATGCTCTGTGGCAACAAAAATGGTTTAAACCACAATCCTCATCCATGTTGCAATGGGTGTTTTTGGCAAGAATTTTTTTTTTTCAAGTTTGACAATTCTGTCAAACTGTATTAGTAATACATGGTGCAAAATGACAAACCATTACAAAATTTTCAGAATGTTATTTCATCCAGGATTATTTCAGCTCAAAATAAAAATTAGTTATACTGGTATAGGATAGAAGATTTTTCTGTTGCCTTTTTTGCACCAATCTACGGCCACATGATAATGATGTCAAACAAGATTTTGCAGTTGTTCTGAAATTTGTTCTCCATTCAGTTTGGGCCAAAAATACAAAATATAAGTTTTTATTAAATAGTTGTGAAGCTATGGAATTTCTGTCCGTCTATACTGCTGCCATAAAAAAAAAAAAGATTTTTTAGTTGCCTTTTTGCACAAATCTACAGCCATATGATGATAATGTTGAACAAGACAATGCAATTTATTTTTCCTCAGATTTGTTCTCCATTCAATTTGGTGTAAAAATACAATATATGATAAGTGTTATGTTAAACAGTTTGAGAACCTCTGGTACAGTGATAAATACGGCCTATTTAAAATGGAGATTAGCGGCAGACTAGAGCCATCGTATTACACAAAGCATGAATTGTTTACCTATTCAGAGTGAAATAAAGTACTGTTTAGCAAGGAGCACCTTTTTTTAACTGTATGGAACTGCAACAATAGGACAGACCCAGGTGTTTAATTGTCTACCTGTACCTTCTCTGATTTTATATAAGATTTACAAAGAAGCAAGTTACCAGCATTTAGAATCACACTATGTCCACATCATGTTTCACATTGAAATGTCTGATTGAGTATGTTCTTTATTATGTTCACATGTTCTGTGTTAAGTGGTGTATGTTCCTTATTCTTAATCAGAAGGGTTTTTTAATCAAAGACGGTCGGTCTCTTTAACTTTTGTCTGTTACATGACCAAACCATCTGCTTGATGACTGATTAGATTGGCACAAAAATAAACTGTCTATATAATCCCTGGGAGCTGCTGTGGTGCAAGCAGCTAGATGCTCACCTGCAGATATTTTTTTTTTTCTTTCTTTTCTTCTTTGCGTTCGGTTTTGTATGCTCAGATCAGACCATCAGGCGGGTTGCCTCTATGAACTCGCATGTCACTTGCAGGTCCTTCATAGTTCCCCATAGCTTGCTCTGCACACGTTGCTCTTGAGGCCAGGTGTCTTTTCTAATCCGTAGAGTGGGCAGGTCTGCAGAATATGCTCAGGTGTTTGTGGACCTATTTGACAGGCATCTCGTGAAAACTGTACAATCTTTATTTTATGCATTTGGTAGCTGAGCTTGCAGTATGTTGTTCGCAGATGGAAAATTGTTGTATGTTGCTGTCAGTTGAGTTTGCTGATAGGGTCTTGTGGATGTTTGCTGTTAGTTTGTTCTTTCCACAATTCCTTGTACTCTCCCTTGATAAGTGTTCTGATTTCTGGTAATGACAATGAACGTGTTTAACAAAAGTTTGGGAAACACTATTCTATAACATCTAATTTTGGTTGTGTGAAATTGTAATACAATCTATCTGGCATCCTACTATTATTATGTCTTTTCTGGTAGTATCCTACGATCATTAAACCACAACACAGGGGTCAAGTGCCCTTTTGAGCTCAAATACTGAAGAAATGCTCTACTCACCTTCGGTCTCTTCCAGACAACTCCACCATACTTTCCAGGAGTTGAAGACAATGACCGCTCATCTGGTGGGAATTCTGTATCTATAAATAAAGTGCCCTTAGCTTGGCACTCCTTTTTCAATTTGTTATAGTCCTGGTTCTTGAACTTCTTTACGGTTTCAAACAGTGGCATTTCCGCAATAAATTAGATTTCTGTCAGACAAAGAATATAATGCTGTTTAAAAGTTTAACCCATCTGCCACGTAAAAATCAATATATTACTTACTGTTTCAATAGTTTCACCCATCTGCCATGTCAAAATCTTCAAAGGTGAACTTTTTCACTTTTTTTTAATAATAAGAAACACTTTGTTATAATTCTCTGAAACTCTACACATTTTTTTTTTTAACTAGAAGAAGAGAATTAGAAGCAGGCTAAATTTAGAGTCTTGATAAATTTTTATTAACATTCAGGAGGTTGAAACCTATGAAAATGATGTCTTTTTCATAATTATAGAGTCATTATCTTGAGAAAAGCTGATTTTTTTTTTAGGTTTAATACATAAACGGAAATAATCATTAAATACAGTAAATACAGATGGGGAGGGGGAGGGGGCTACTTTTCTTTCCTCTGACAAAGAAAGCAGGCATTTGTTGACAGAGCCATGAAGAGCAAAGTGACATCATCATGAATATATTATGACATCAGGCTGGAAAAAAGTGGACTTTTTTTTTTTTACAACTCCAAACAATATCGGTTACATTTCTGGGCACAAAATATAATCATACCCACCATGACTATACAGTATGCATTTGTTACCAGTACAAAAACTGTGATACAGGCGTACTGGCCACTCCCTAATGTCAGGCCATCAAAAAACCTGTTAAAGCCAGAAAGTGGCTTATATGGAGCTACAGGGTTAGAGTGAAGAAGACTGACTTCACTTTACTATGATTTTATCTCTCACTCTGTGAGAGAGAGAGAGAGAGAGAGAGAGAGCAGAGTTTACAGTGGTGAGAGAGAGAGAGAGAGAGAGAGAGATTCTTTGAGAGAGAGAGAGAGAGACTGAGAGAGAGGGAGGGAGGGAGGGAGGGAGGGATATCTGTGGCAAAGTTTAATTGGTGAGGGTAAATGCAATCAAATGTTAACAAAAACAGTTATGAAAGGGCAGTTGGCATGCTGTACTATATATACTTTACAGCTAAGCTGCAATATCTGTGACTTCTGGCCCAACACGTCTGATTTCAGGAAAGCCCTAATTAGTCACATTCATTTTAGCACTTGCCTGTAAAGAGGCAGCGGACCACTTCCTCTCCACCCCCCCCCCCCCCCCCCCCTCCTCCCTTTTCATAAACTGAGGCCTCAAAACCGTAACAGTGACAAGAAGCCCCCAAACAACACATCTCCTCCTTCCCATTCTGAGTCCCTGGGGTTCATACTGCAGACATGATCAACCCCATTCATCTCTGCGATTCGCCTTCTCTTGCAAGCACAGTAAATAAATAATACTGTAAAAACATGCCTCTGACCTTCCTAGATGGGTTCACTTATATATTTTATTATATTATATTAGGTGTTTCAGAGTTTTGTTTTGCCTTTTTGCTTTTTTTTTTTAAATATCCATACTGCATAATGGTAAATTGTTTCTTTTTCTTAACTCGTTCGATACCAAACGACTCACTATAAGCTTCTTAGACATTCCAAAAACAATGTTCTTGCTGTCCTCAATCACGGAGAGAGGTTGAATTATTACTACTTTTTCCCGTGTGGGTTCCGGATTCCCATTGTCGGGGAAAACACGAATAGAACCCACAGCCTCCCAAACAAGCATGTTGTAAGAGTCGACTAAGTGGCAGCACCCTTTGAAAGTTGGAGTGCATCGACCTGAGAGGTAAGGAATCAACAGTCTGCATACAAAGCCAGATCTGTAAAATGGATGTGCACACAACACTCCAAGAGTTTTAGTTTTTAGTGACATTTTTTCTGGTAATAATAGATGTATATATATATCTTGAAAAATTGACAGATCTAAAAAATGCAGTAGCATTAATTTAAAAAACAATATCCTGTCAACCAAAGTTAAGAGTTATAACTAGCATATATGGAGGCCCTGCCTTCCCCCCTTCCTCCATTTCTATACTGGATATTTATGCTTGTCAATTGCTTTTAGCTGTTTAATATTGCATACATTGTGTATTAACTGTCACAGATCGTAGAGGTATAGATTGTTAAGTTTAACCTATTTTAAGCTGCTTTTTAAATAGTTGTGATATTGATAATTGTGTAACATATGTTTGGAATGTATTTTGTAATTCATGAATCTGTTTGTTGGTGCAAAGTTTTAATTCGGGGAGGAGGAGGGGGGGGGGGGGGCACTGCTCATCAACAAGGAAAAGACGACTAATTAAAAGTTAAGGAGGAGGAAGTGGTGGTGAAAGAGGAGGAAGAACAACAACAACAACAACAATAACGTTGGCTGTTTGTGGTTTCAGTAGTCAAGAGAAACACCGATGCAAGCCAAACGGTACAGGTCGCTGAGTGAATTACAACAGACAGTGAAGTTCATACTAGAGTCAACAACACTTGTAGATACAGATAATCTATTTCAAGTGAACGAAACAAGAAGAAGCAGAACTAGACAATTGTACGTTTAGCAGTTTGTGTGTTTGCTGAGCCGCTCCGAGCATGCGGCAAAACGACTGAACCCCTTTGCCATGAAGTCTAACATCAGCACATCATATATGTTACTAGGTCACCGAATACAGGCCTAACGTCACATCTGCAACAAATCTCAATGGAGTGACAAATGGGTAAACTATTTCCTATTAGTTCAAGGTAAAGATTTACCAAGGCAACTATCTCAGTTGTGTTTCGACAGTGGTATTGAGAAGCCGACCGTCTAGGAAGCAATGGCAAACTAGTGGACGTAAATCTGCCTAGAAAACCACAACAGATAAAAAATACTGGGAGGTTCTACATGTCCTGTAATGGATACGCAACCAGCTTTTAACATAATTCACCTCCTTTCCATTTTCTTCTTCTTGTTATTTCCCAACTGCCCATCCTTTTCTTCTTCTGCTCTTTATCTCCCATTGGCGTAAAAGCCATATATCAATTCTGGCAAAACCGTCCAGTACCTTATAATTAACCCATCTGACTTGTTCTGTCAGTAAACTAGTAACGAAAAAAAAAAAAAAACAGCAATAACAAATGCACACCAACAACACACGGAGATATATTGTCGTGAAGAAATAACAGCTAAGTACAGTAGTGAAGTTCATACTAGAGACAACATTGCAGATAAAGATAATTTTTTTTCAAGCCAACGAAAGAAGAAGAAGCAGCAGCTGAGTACAACGAAACTTCCGGTCAAAATTGACGTTAGGCAGCGGCACTGTTCGAAACAGAGGCAATTTTTTTGCTTCTGCCGGACGGTGGCCGAAGCATTTTTGCTCCATTTATAGACTGGATATAGTTTCGTCGCCCAGCTTCTAAGTTGAATGCATGGCGTGACCCTGTGAGCTGCGGATTGCATTTGGAATGTTTTTTCGACTGTGACCAACGTGTTAGTGTGAATTGTAGATTCAGAAAATGGCGCGATGCCTGTCGTGCAGTGTTGTGGTGCCCGTATGTGATTAAAATTTATCGCGTGGGCAACTGCTGATCTGTTGGCGACTTCTGCTACCATCAATGATGAACTGCAATTCCAATACTGTGATGAACATTCTGTGTGTTTTTCGTTGGCACAGGAGCGGAGCAAAGGTGTGGTGACCCGTTTGCTACGAAGCTGAAACTAAGACTACCAGACAACGAAAGTAGGCCACTAATAAAACACTGCTACTGTTTTTTTTTTTTCTTCTTCTTCTCGTCATTAACACTTACTAGGTTGTAGCCCGGCGTCGGGGTTTTCTTATTTGTCTTTTGCTTCTTAGGGGAACCGCCGTGGCAGTGTAGTAGCCAAATGCTCGCCTGCGGATAGGAGGGTCGTGGGTTCGGGTCTTTACGGAGCCAGATTTTTTTTTTTCAAAAATGATCTCAGCTTCCAGGTGGGCCCAACTTTGTGCGGATACTAGGTATAGTCCTGGGAAGTAAAGGCGACCGGGGTAATGCTGACCATATCACCCACCAAGTGCCGATTGGTCTTGCCTTATTTGTCCAATACACCCGAAGAAGTGGTCAAGGGTCCTTTACGGGTGCTTCTTGAGTGGTATGAAGACGGTTTTTTCATCCCCCTTCCCCACCTCCCTCCCCGGGCGCAGCTACGCCGTCTATACAGTTTCCTTGATGTTCCGCTCACGTGTTCTACTGTAGAAGGCCAGACATATAGCTTAGGCTGCTCGGAGCGAAAGCTAAGTTGGTTAAACCAGCTGCGAGGCGACCGGGTGATGAACTTCTTGTGGTCCGAGTTCAGGCCCGGAGGTAGCCAGAAAAGTCACACTTCTAGATTTACGGTTTCTATCAACGAATCAAGGCCGAAGGATTGTGATATCCAAAGTAGCGAGCCAAAGGGTTTAAAAACTCATGATTTTTTGTCCTGTTGCATTCATTCGTGACCTTAGCCAGTCTTGTGTTGCCGCCCTTTATGACAGGAAAACAGCAATACCAGCGCAGACCTCACAGATCAATAGTAGTAATCTATACCTTATAAGTGCGGTCTATTGATACGCAACACTGAATAAGACAGACACGCGGTCGCCTTTTTCAATACGCAGACACAGATCGTGGATTAAAAGCACAGTAGTGCAGAAAAACCGTCTTAAAGAGAACGATTCGGAGTAATGTTATGTTGTGGTGTGGTAAAGTCGGGAGATGTGAACCAGCGTCATTGCACACGGTTATAAACCATAAGTGCTCTGCCACCAGTACGGACAGCTGATAAGAAATGTCCGCCTGTGTCGCCGTTCGCACGTAACTCTGTAGCTACAACGACGTTCCTCCATTTACCCCAGAGTGTCAACTCTGGTACCCATTTCCTAGAGGCTGGGTGAACCCCGGGAGCCGCCCGGTTTCTAACACCAACAGTGTGCTGCAGCGAGTCGCAGCTGGATTTTAAAGCGAGCCTCTTATCGACTGCGCTAACGCGGCCCCCAGTGGTGTGGAAGTCATTTACTGGGTGGGGGTGGGGGCGCCCGCATGTCTCAAAAGGACACATTCTGAAAAGTAACGGTAAAATCTGCAAAATATCAAATATCA